CCATCACTGACTCCTACTCCTTACTCCAGCTTAATTACTCCATGTATTGTAGACCAGCCTTCTATCCGTAGTATGATACAGGCCTTGGGTACGGCCGGGTGGAGTTTACGAACGCGCGCTCGCGTTGACAGTCTTTGTTACCACATGGACGAGCGGAGCCAGTGCCAGTCAGTTGCACGCTCGCCTCGCTCGCGCGACTCGTACGGCGTTCATCTCCTTATATAGCGAAACGGAGCACCGGCGAGAGGGAAATCCGCTTATCATGACCACGACGATTACCCAGGAGGCCTACGACGAGGAGGTCAGGGAGCTGATGGAGGGCCTCTGCATGACCGAGGAGGAGGCGATCGACGACGCTATCAAGTGCTTCGAAACGAAGGTACTCACCGTCGCGTCTTGGTCCTTTGTTTACACCGCTTGCCGATCGGTGAAAGACATCCTTTCTTTTTCTTCCTTACTCCTCGTGATCGTGTGATTCATCCGCCAGATCGCCGCAAATTTTCGGCGATGAGGAAAGAGTCGCGGAACGTCTCGGAGGACCTCAGAGGACCTTGTTTATCTAAAAAATTAAAATTAACATAAACAATTAGTAAAATTCATAAGGCTCTAATGTGAAAACACAAATACGAAGTGACAAAGGAGTAAGAGCCAAGACAGGATGTTAGTTTACTGCGTGCCTCGGTGGTCGAGTTGGTGAGACGTCCGCCTAGTGAGGGAGGGAGGTCCAGGTTCAAACCCTGGTTGAGGTATTATTTTTCACAATAGACTTAAAATTGAAGTCATTTAGACACTGACATCCTGTCTTGGCGCTTGCTTTTTTTATTACATCGTATTTGTAAAATTAACGTGTAAAGGATATGTATACAGGTGCACGTGTATACAGAGTGTCCCAGGAGAAAAGGTCAATATTCTGGGAGGTGATAGTATCGGTCATTTTAAGCAAAAATGTTCGTACGAATGTATGTCCCATTCCCCACTGTTTCCGAGATAGAGCTATTTGAATGGGCAGTTGCAAGATTACTGACAAGAAAGAAGTACCGCGTACTATTTCTAATATTTATTGTTCACGATTCGGAATTCTGCGTGTAGGAAAGCGTCGACAGAAACCGCAAACATACAGCATATCTGCTACTGTATCTTCCCAAAATATTGACCTTTTCTCCTGGAACACCCTGTATATTATAGAGGAAAGTCCTCTATTATGTGATAGGTTTCTAATACGAGACCAGCAGGCTTTCGCCGAAGAAAGCTCTGAATGAGGGCTTATTTATATTTCATTCCAAGAACTTTTCAAAGGGCTCTCACGTTTTTCAATGTATAAATATTCATTCTTGAATATACATATTTACCAAGGTATTAATTAGTTATATAATTAATATCTATATATAATTTTTATTTATTTGCGTACACAGAGAACAAGCGCGTTGTCTTGCTTTACCGTGCACGCGACAAGAATCTTAATTTTCACCCCTACTTTATCGCGGATAGAAAGATCGAAATCATTCGAAACGTTAGGAGGCTTTAAATACAATTCACACGGAAATTTAAATCGAGGTACGTGTCAAAAAGATAGTTCTTGGTGATTAATCGAAAGTTCTGCTTCTTAGACGCTCGATTGTGTGAATCAGTCTCGAATAAGTCGGAAAGAATTTTCCTCATTGTCGTTTGAAGTAAATGTGAAACGCAATACTGCGTGAAATGAAAGGCGTATAAATTAATGTCTTGAATATTCTTTGTCACTTAACAATCCTATCGTTATACTTTTCATTGTATCATGTTCTTATTGTGGCTGCTTTATATTTAATAATAATACGCCTTCGAACGTTCTTCAACGTTTCTTTCATTCAATATTTCTTTCATTAATGATAAACAATAAATCGCTATATATTATTGAGTTTTTAGAGCTTACATTAGTTGCAGGGTGCACCTGCAGTGCAAAAATAAAATCTGTTACACGCTCCTGCCGCATTTCTTGACGCTTTTAGTTTCGGAGCACTTGTGTCACTATCGTCTATCTTAAGAGATCGATCTGGTTCTTGTATCGCAACGCTATCGATGCTGTTCAGAGAGGAAGGCAAGAATCTTTTCCCTAAAAAACAAAGAAAGAAAAGTAAAATTCACGTAAAAGTACGAAAAGATTCGTCGCTACGCGCTTTATTGCGACTAAACGACTGCTGCAAAAACGAGAAAAGAATTTTCTTAGAAGATTAATTATGCCGTCTAAATATGTAAAGATTAAATATTTATAAAACACTTCGATGAGAGCTGCTTGCGTTGGGGAGAAACGCTGCACGCTCCAATCGCCGCTACCGCACTATGATTTACGAACGGTGTTTATTTCGCACAGGGGATAGATCTGAGCAACATCGTCACAGATTCAGTTCTCGAGGAGAAATATAAGCAGATAATAATATGCCTGGAGCGACTGACGTGCGCGGTGAACGACAAGAGTTACGAACGCGTGCCGGAGACGTTGCAGGAACTGCGAACCGAGTTGGATAAGGACATCGGACGCAGGGTATTCGCGGGCAAACGCAGATGTTACAATATACTGCTCGACCTCCTGAAAGATTGCAAGAAAAACCACGCGATACTTAAATCGACGCTGGAGACAATCGCCTCACTAATGTCCGGTTATCCGGATCTGTTGGACGACGAAGGAATCGCGTTGCAGATAGAGTAAGAATTATCCCGTAGAAAATTAATTTAAAAAAAAACAGTATACTTGGAATAGATCATGATTATTTTTCCTCTGACGATTATGTCTCAGGTTTATATAAAGATCGAAAAGAACACAAGTTTTAATAATTTCTTGGACGGGATAGAAAAGCTAGCATCTTTAATTTATAAAGTTATTATAGGTCTGAACAATTCTCTGGTTATTTTTGCACGAGAATCACATTCTTATCTAAATTGGAAAATCGATCTATTTAATTAATTTCGTTTCTAGCTTGTAAATTTGTAATAATTTGAAGAAAACCGATTCGAAGAAAACTAATACCTCCAATTATACGAATCATAACTGAAGACGAGAGATTAAGATTACAAGAACCATGTACTTTTATATAAACATTCGTCCCTTGTCTCAAAGTAACTTACAAAATTGCGTTTATCAGGATTTTAGAGAGTCATTGCGATACAACAACGTTACAATGCCTGCTGCGTTGGATACGAGAGTGCTGCATAAAGCACGAGTTTAATAGGCAAAAGATCTTTAACACCAATATCTTTGAGAAGCTCAAAAAAATATTGGTGCGCACGGACGTGGGCGCGCAAGAGATCAAGGATGCATGCTCGGTAATTAGGGCGTTGGTCCTGGACGACGATATTAGGCACGAATACGGAAAGGCACACGAGCATGCAACTATTATGGCCAAGGGTGCTCTCGATGTCATCACGGGATTATTGGAAAGTAAGCTACATTTAACTCTTAGGGGCCTATGATAATCTCGATGAGTTGCCTTTTACTTTCGAGAGATAACAATCAAATAAAAATGATATTTAATTGAATTTTTACTCGGATCTTCTCTTAACTCGACTTACTAGAGCAGCGCATATCTCTTTGTGCCATGATCGTCACAAATATATATTTAAATAGATTTATAATTAATAAATTACTTTCGATAATTATCGTCAAGTGATGATTCTACAAAGATTCGTATTATTTGGAATATAAATAATTATTCTGTATTGCTACTACAATTTTTATATGCTACTACAATTAATGTATGTACTTTATTGCAATATCGCATTATTATTAAATGCATTTGTCACAAATAGGATTTAAAAAGGACACAAAGGTCATAGGTGACCTAATGATCACGTTGGCCGCGTTGGTTGTCCGAAATGAATTCTGTCAGGAAGTAGAAGATGCCGGGGGATTAAAATTCATTTTGGATATAATGACCGAATATCCAGATTCTGAAAAATTGAATTGGCAGGCTTTGAAGTTGCTCAAAGCGCTTGCTGGCAACGACAATGTGAAGTCTCATATCGTCACTTCCGGATGCGGTCCTTTAATCGTATCCTCTATCAGTAGAATGAAAGTAAGTTTATATGCGACAAAGAGCAATATTTTTTACAATAATTGTTCTCATGTGTTTCTTTTATTATCTAAATGAGAATATTTAAAAATGTGTTTGCATTAAAATTTAATATTTAACAGAGGTCGGAGAACATCGTAACTGCAGGATTGAGTTGTATAGCGGCGTTATCTTTACGAAGCAGTTCAAATGCTGGCGTGTTCTATGATTGCGGCGCGGCCCAAGTGATCGTAGATGCTATGAAAGCATATCCTAATAATGTAAACGTCTTGAAACAAGCTTCTTGGGCAATTAGAAATATGTCGGTGCGAAACAAGTCTGAATGTAAGGAATTCTTGATGTATGACGCTGAGGAAGTACTGCGAAATGCGGTACGTTTGCATGGTTCGAAATTGGATGATAACGCGAAAGCCGCATTAAGAGACCTGGGCCTGAAAGTAGATTTGAAAGAAAGGTGGGCGGGAAAAGGCGTCAGTCTGAGTAACGAACGTTATTAATCACTGGCAGCAGCGTCATCGTCAGAATATAATATCTAGATTATTTAATTAACAAGTACATTGATCCAGTTTGGATCTTGTACTTTGCTTTGTCTCACCTCGCAATACTAGGCATTATTCAATAAGAATCTTAACTAACAGAAATAATAAGATATTTTTCTGCTCAACCTAATAGTAGGATAAAATATGAATTTTGTAAAATTGTCAATTGCTGTTTTAAGTCTATTGTTAAGTCTAAGTGACATTGTATAAAATTTTAGTAGGTCAACTGATTGAAGTTAATTTGAGACAAAATATTTCCAATGCAGAAATATATTCTAGTAATATTTGACAATATTTTTTATCCTTTATGATTAAAATTTGCCACGTTATATTTAGAAATTTCATATAGTGCCTGAAATTTATATATTTCTAATACACCAGGAATTACATATTTTTATCTGACTAGAATAAATTAGAGTAAAGAGCTAAGTATCCATATTTTATATAGCCATTTTCAATTGTCGGTTTTAACAAAAATAAATATACAAGCAAATTGAACTTGCTTTATTATTTATATATAGATATTATTGGTATAGATAATTATGATTAAAATTATTTATTTTCATGTATGTCATAATTGTAAAAGACAAATTTTTTCTAGTGATAGAAAAAATCTCTATAATTGAAGCTTTGACATAAATAGAAACAGGCAATTACTAGTTAAAATGAATAAGGCTGTTGGTACAATTGGGTACTTAACTAATAAAGCTTGCCGAACTTAAAAAAGACATAGACTAACGTTCAAATATAATGATAGCATTTGTAATTAATGTAATTAAATATATCGACTATCTTTTTTTATATAAATTGTTTTATATACAGTCAGAAATTTTACATTATTGTAATGGAACCTAACAAGGAATTAAAGCTAATTTTGAATTACCTTCTTGGACAAGATCAAAGATTGTTTCTCTTTTCTCTCACCTCTGTCTACCTCTCACGTGCCAATCTGTCTAATTTTAAACGGCACAGATAGGCAAAAATTCATTTAAGCATTATGTAATTCAAGGGTGACTTAGTTTGTTGTAAACATGACTATGCCAATTAATTTAATTAAAACAATATGTTTTTACATTGTTACATTGTTAATAAACATTAAAAATAACGATGTTTCATTTTATCTCTTATAAAATGAATTAAAAACATGAGAGAAGTAATATTAGTATTATAAAAGACTATTTTATTCTCGATATGAAAGTTACGATAATATTTATGCAAGTATGTATATACATTTTTATTCCATATATGTACTTTTATCCCATATGTAATGTCCATATATTTTATATTTAAAAGAGATGTTTTAGTAATATTTCATGCTAATATTACATAATAATAACATGACCAAAATGATAATACTTTATTTCCAGTTAATATCCATCTATTCGTCGTTTCAATTTTTTTGAGCAAAGACAGGTGTCTGCTGACTTTCGCTTTATTAATATCTAATGATCAAAAACACTCGAACGTCAAACATATAGTTACATGTGAAACACAAGTAACACATATGTACGCTTATCAGTCTGTTTCTCTCGCAATTCGTTTCGCGTTTAGCTATGCATTTTACGTAGAAACACGAGCTATTTTATTCCGAAAGAATTGTGGTTTATGAGATTTTTCGTGAAATCGCTCGTATACATATACAAGATTACAGAAAATCGGATTCTGTGCGATTCTTCACTCTTCGTTGCAAAGACAATGCGTTATTAAACTAGCACATAATTGATTGAACAAGGTTTCGGATCGATGTGATTTATGGAAAGAAAAAATATTGTCATTCATTCATTTTTGTTTCTTGTTTTTACCATATACGCTGTTTCGAACAGATCCGATTTCCTGCTTAATCGTTATTTTGTACAAGGATAGATCTTTTACAAAGAGATATTGATGTTAATAGGGCCAAGAAAATTCAATACAATTGGCAAGTGGCCAGGTAATTAGATAATCAGCTGAAGAAACCTACTTTGCTGCCTCGATTGTGTTGATAATAAGACAACCGCAATTTTAATTCGATTTAAAATTTGTCTCATTAAGTAATGATCTTCGATCGATTAATACCTTAGAAATTCACGACAAATCTCGGTTATCCAATTGAATTTCGTTTGTTTCTTTAAACGAACAGACGTCTTATTTTTCACTGTTAATAGCAAATGGAAGAAAAGAACAATTAGTTTAGAAACTTCGTTACCAAAGCGTTTGCGATTTCTAACTTTCTGCGTTCGTAAGCAATAACTTTCGTTTGTAATACGTATCGTAATAATTTTATCGCGATTGAATAGGTATACAGCGATCGTGATGTGATTGTCGATAACGATTGTTCTCGATTAAGGATTTTATTACACTACGGGTGAGACACGGAAGCAATTTTACAAAGCGCCAGACGACTTTGGTTTCTCTCAGCAGCTGGCCTATTGTACCTGATCATTAACTATTCGTTATCGTTCGTTGTACTTCATTCCTGCAGACTACTGATTGTATCACAGTCCTTGACGAGATCACACTCGCGATAGTCGAGCTATGCGATTAATACACAGGTTTGCGACGACACAGAGCACATAATTATGGACAATAGTGGACGTTTTGTCTCGATAAAGGATCGCGATGGTGCCTACTACATGCACCCTCGCACTTCTTAATGTTAACGATACTGTACAGCGCGCTGTCTCAAAAATAAATTACTTCTTCGCACGTTAAAAATAATTTTGAAACTCACGCTTAAAACGTACGCGGCTAAAGAATTACTCGTTGTAATCAAGTACTTGTTATTTATCTTGCTCAACCATTCAACCAATTGCTATATCAGTTAATCAATCAACAAAATTTATGACACAAGTGGTAATACTTTGTCATAACTTTACCTGTCGTGTAATTCCTGTAAAATTTATACCTCTCATGTTCATTAAATAATATTCCTAAAGCGGTGTTATTCGGTTTCGCTTGCTTTTATAGTACACGTAGATTGTAGATAAACTTTTAAGTTCTATAAATGTTTAAGATTTTTTACTTAATCTCTTAAATATTTATAGAACGTTTAAGAGAGCGAATACTTTAAGACAGTTTTGCGTTGAAAAATAAATGCAATTTTCGAGTTGCAATTGCAATCTTCAATCAAAGTTAACAATAACGACTTAGTCGGACATCGATTACATCACAGCCATTGACACTTAATATTCGACAGTTACTCAATAAACAGTCGCGTTTATACATTCGCAACGTATTATCTCAATTTTTCACTGACCTGCTGTTTTAGCCTTGTTTTCGTTGCATTATTCAATAATGTCCAATTTAAAGATTCATCGCACATAATGTCGTTATATTTTCATATGCCACCGATTTTGTTTTGCTAAAAAACACCGACGCTTATAATTAACATTCAGCCGAGGAAGTTTCTGTAATTGAAGCTACTAAATTTCGTAGTACAATATAACGATCTGTCAAGGAACTTTTTTTATACAAGGTTTTGCAAAATATTTAACCGAACTTTACCAATTAAACTCTGCTAAAAAATCCATTTATATATACTTGAAAGTTTAAAGAGCTAATTCAGAAAGAATGTGAAAAAGTGAAAAGACACTTTCTTAAATTCAACTTGTATTGATAAAGTTTGGTGAATATTTTAGTAACACTTAGAAAATATTGTAATAATAAAAAAAGAGATGTTTGAGAAATAAAAACGTAATGTTAGGATACAATAAAAGGGATGTGAACAAATAGTCATTCGTGATTGAGAAAAATAGACATAATATAAATAGAATATAAATTTAACACATTCGTTAGGTAATATAAAATATAAATTCCATATTTAATATAGTTGGAAATTTCTAACATTGTGCAATATTCTACACTCTCACAGGATTTATATAAAACAGATTTATGTAGTAGCAAGTTTACAAATAATTTGATAACACGAATGTGTCAAACAAATAATCAAGAAGAAAATAAATAAACAAACGCACTTACCTGGTGCACAACGAAATCGAATGAACCGATGAACAGTTGATAACAAGAAATGAAATAAACGAGGCTTGTGTAAATAACTTGTAATTGCTGTAAAAATAGAAAATCTGAGTTATGCTAAAGGAATACTATCCGACAGAAAGCATCCGAATAATTCGATGGAGCTGGCAGAACCAAAAAAACTCAATTGACACAGATAATTAATTAATACGTACAGCTCTGTTCTTAACGGCGCAATTAAACACGAGTTCATCGAACTAATACGTGATAGCGATATGGGTCGAAGACTCTAACTTGTTTTATCTTGACATCGAAATATACAATAATACATATATTTATCATCTAACGACGACTTCATATATTCTACATATACAAGCGTATACCCAGTTACGTTACTGTATATATTATCACGCCTATCCGAGTAAGTTTACTCGATACATAACGACGTGTGCAGAACGAGAATCGCATATGTGTTTCAACATTCGTAATGCCTTCGCCGAGGCACGTACATTTGCTCGCAATTCATTTGGAAAATAGATTTCTTGTCCCACAGTTTTCGCAGATTGATTGTAAAAACTTACAAGTTTTTACATCAACTTTTAAACGAGCAGTTACCAACTAACAGAAAAACATTTAGAAAGAAAGAATTATCGACTCGACATAGAGTCGGCGATTCTTTTATTAACTTTGCACTGTAAATTTGTTGTTTCCACGTTAAATGGTTGTCGGATGAAATGTCGAATTTCGGAGGAATACTTTTTACGTTTTTGTGAAAGGGTGCTTTTCCCCAGGAACGCAAGGGAGAGGGAAAACCGATCATCGGGCCACGAATTTTTTGGTCTGTGCAACACAAGTTTACGCACTGAGCTCCTCTTAAAACATTATTTCCACCGTTGATTCCAGAGCCGAGACTTTTCATCTCGTTTCAGGAAGGCTCGTTTTATTCAGAAATATAATTAGATATCTACGCAATCTCTTGTAATCGTTTTGAAAAATATCATTTTTCCGGTCTAATCGGGCAATATTCATTACGTGTAAAAATAAAATTAAAAATACATGAAAAATCTCATTCTTTCTTCATATACGTGTCGATAATGAAATTAACGACACGTTAATATCGAGACACTTTAGCGTATACTATTTTTTGGCTTTACTGCTGTTTCAGAAATAAAATAATAAGCAGCAAGTGTTATTGAATATGCGTATGTATATCATTAACTAAACTTCAAAGAAGTTTTTTCCATATACTAAATTGAAAAAGATGTGCTTTATTAAATAAAAAAGTATTGCCACGTTTATAATTAAATGCAAATATTCAGCGTTGAAACTCGATCTGTATGTTAAGGAAATAAACTCCGAGACAGAGCTGTTTATCTTATTAAACTTTATCGTCTAATACGACATTAAACGAAGCTGAAAATACGAAGTTTTCCTATCCTTTTTTTCCTGTAGGCCTTTGTGACATAATGAGATCGCCGCACGTTCTTTCGACTTGAATACGTTAAACGTTTGATAAAAAACATAAAAATTGAGATCGCGTAAAAAGGGCCAGGGCCGAAAGTAGTATTTGAATAGGTGCCGCTATCCCAAATTGATAAAATTACTGATCCACACCTGTCCGCGACGATAACAGACATCGCCTCGCACGCACACGCAATGTAAAGTCGTGTGATTGTGCCATACAAAGGTACGCACGTCGCGATATATTTATTGCACACAAAACCCTGACAATACGTGACGAATCCCTTCACGGTTCCCAGAAAAATCGGGATTCTTCGAGAACGAGCCTTTTTCGTAGAAATCTTGATTCATAACTCGCACAGATAAAAGCGCATCTTAATTTCTTTTCTTACCTGCATATCATCCCCTCCTGAAATTTGTTATTCTATTTACCTCTTATTTGGTTATCTTATTTTGCTTCTGGGCTGATGTTTCGTCGAAAATTTACTCGCAATCGAATCATCAAGAAGAAACAAATCCCTCGTTCTGAACATTCATCGATAGATAGAGGAGGGAAGAGAATTCTGCCGCTCCGCGAGAATTATGCTACATTCGGCAGAAGAAAGCACGACTAAGACACGTGTGATTCGTGTGTCGCGTCGCGTAATATAAATAAAATTATATATATATATATACGTGGTCATCTCTCTTTGTAGCAGTCTTACGCTCGGCATAATTTGCCCTTTCCGATATATCTGTACTTTTATTCAACGGTCGCGCTCGCCAGCCGCAAAATCGCGGACGAACGCAAAGCTGCTGTCCCAGCTACTAACGACATTGGCAACACGAATGCTTGTAATATTTAATCCGACATAGATCATTCTTTATCACTAAATCGCAATTCGGGTACTTGTCCACGCACTCGGACGACTCGTGCACCTCTGAAACGCAATGTTAAAATATGTCTGTGAAGTACACATCGGATCTAATTATTAAGTGGTAATGATTTATCATTATTACTGATCCATCGAGTATATAGATTTTTTCGCGAAAGCGTTTTCTAAAATTGCTAAAGCTTGGAAAAACGAGAGGTATAAGTTTTTTTCTTTACTTTTCGGTGGTTTGCTCGGCGCTGACACTTCCTTCTTACACGGCTCCACGTTACATCGTTGTTCCGCGCTTGGTTTCTCCATTTCCGAGCAACTGGTACTGCTAATACCTTCTACGACGCACCGCACAAGCCGTGTCTGCGTCCCGGCCCCACATGTCGCGGAACACTAAAGATAGAACATATAAAAATTATATCGGGCATCCAAAGTGCAACAAATTTGCGACAGAAAAAAATTCCTGATATTTTTCCGAACGTGATTCACGTATTCGCGGTACTTTACCGTCGACCAGTCTGAGGTGAACCATTCCGGCGAACACGCGGACATCCTGCAGGCTTGCTCAGTCGCTGGTTTGGGATCGCTGCAGTTTTTCGCGGCTAACACGACGAAGTCGTCATTTATTCTGGTTATGCAAGCGATGTCTCGGTACTGCACGCCAACGCCGCACGAAACTGAACACTAGAAACATAAAAGAAGTTAATATAAGACATTATATGTCGTCATTGATTATAAAAAAAACTGCAGCGTACGATAATCAAGATAATAAGAATAAAGAAGAAGCAAATCTCAAATGGACAAGTGGAACAATTGAAAATTAAAGTATGAAGATTAAATGTAAATTACAATTTTGTGCAGTTAGAAAATGCATTTTAAAATCAAAGCTAGATTCGTTTAAAGAAGTGTCATCTATCAGAATTATATCAACGCTCGCTTTAACTTCATTCGCGTGGCGAACGTTTCATATTCCAAGTCGTGCTTGTACTAACGGAAGTCCATGGACTGGCGAACCACTTGGCTCGGTCGCAGCTCGTCGCTTGTCCGAAGCAATGCGTCTCCGTGTCCGGTCTCTCTTTGGGATTGCAAAATAACTCGCTACCGTCGGCGCACGCCACTCGTCTGATCTTTACGCCTTTTCCACATTCTGCGGAGCACTGCAACAACAACGAATACTGTGGTACCGTGTTCCGAGAATGCAAACATACTTCATCTTGAAGTCGAGAAATAAAATTAAATGCAACGACGTTTAAGATATTCTTTCTTTTTTTACATAAAAATCGTCACAGAAAAGTGATTTTACGTATTTATTCAGTTATTGAATAAGTACAAAAGGCCAACGGAGAACCCATTTTTAAATGGATATTTTCACACTTACCTGTTTTGAATATAATTAATCTAACGATGTGTCATACCTTCGAAGACCATTCCGAGTACAACCAAGGCGCGTGATGGCCCGTGTCTGTCGCCGCGCCGCACGCCGCTACCTCGCACGGTTTTTGGGATTCCGGCTTACTGGTTAACGAACAGGACCCCCCGGACGTTATACAGGTCACCGTTCGATTTCGAGTTCCGTGGCCGCACGTCACCGAACACTGGAATGCGCGATGGAAGACTCAACGGATGGAAATATATTGTTCAATCAAAATTAATTTTGGCAGCGGAGCGAAGAGCCTCGTTCGAATTTGCTGCATTCTGATCGAAGGATTGTAAGGAATGTAAAATGTCTACGAGAAAAATAATCGGAATTTTTTCGTTTGCGACGAGTTCAATTGTTCCCTGAAATTCGTTCTTGTTCGCTTACGTTCTTTCCATCAATTTTTCTAATTATTTCCGTTGTTTATTGGCATTTGTTAACATTTTATAAGACACGTACAATTCGCACGAATTGCCTCTGACGAGTAAAAATAATGATAAGACGCATGTCGAGTCGTCTCGTATCCCAGCCGATTTCTCACTTCGGATTCCCAACGATTTCCTGTCCCACTTCCTAAACCGCCGACAGTAGCGGTTTAACAATGAAGGAATTTAACTGATTAATGACTCACCGGACTCCAAGCGCCCACGTCCCACCTGGGCGCGTCGTGCTGCGAAGGCATGTGTCTCAATTCCGGGCCCACGTTGGGACACGCCGGCCGGCTGCAGGTTTCCGTGGTGCTCAGATCTGGTGGCCGCATGCACGCGCCAGCGGCGACGCGCATTGTCAATCGCGCGTTCAGCTCCTGGACGCACTCGAGTTTTCGCGTCCTGGTGCCGACCCCGCAGGTCACCGAGCACTCGCTCCACGGCTCGGCCCGCCACCTGACAACATTCCCGGTTCTTCGAATACGAGAGATCAAGCTAGCCCGCACAGTTCCCTGGACGCAGGGAGTTCATCGCGTTTCCATTCGCCCCTCGAACCCGAAATCGACCTTCGCCTCAGCAAAAGTATCAATAAAGGCTGTAAACTCTGGGCTGTTTAACGATTCAATGTGTGAGGAATGAGTTTGAATTTCAACGTAGAAATAAAGGAAACGTGATGATCGTGAGACAATCGTTAAAGGATCTATTGTCACAGAGGAGAGATATATCGATGTAAGTACCTGGCGGCGCAAGGATGATCGTTGCATCGCAGCGGAGGAGGATGCTTCGGCTTTTCCACGTTGCGACAGCGTTTCTCGATGACCGGTGCCTGATTGCTCTCGCGGATGCACTTCAGGATCGTCGTCCGCATGCCTGCAAGATGCGACGAGTTGTAAGAAGTGATTCGACGTGTTCTTTACGTTTCGTTACATCGTCGATTAATTAATTCCAAGTCTCATCCTTTTTCGGCGAGAAATCGGCTCGACGCCAAATCTCTCCTCGAAATCTTTTAACATTAAGTAAAACGTATTGTTGCGCAACGTTGGAGTTCAAAGTAATACCTACTTGAGATGGAGCGAAGAATAAAATTACGTTTACGGCTCAGACCGCAAAACAATAACTCATTTTCCGTCGCTTATAACTCAGACAGCGCTGACGTACTAACAGTTTTATTGAGGAAACTTCTATCTCAAGTTAGTTAAAGAGTCCACGAGCAAAACGAAGTGCGACACTTTGTGAGCGGGACACTTTGTATTATGATCGACGTGACCGTCGCGTTCCTTTTCTCCGTACTCGTCGGGCTTTCCGCCCGTATCGCGTCAATTTAAATTAGAACGTTCCGGTGACAGATATCGGATTCTGTCGCGTGCAATGTTCAGATGTCCAGAAAGACAGTGACAATTTCCGGTATCTCCAAAGCACCGCGCTGCATATCCTTGCGAACGTCTACGTCTCGACGTTTATTCCTATTTAACGTTAATTATTCATTTCTGTGTTCCCTTCATTTAATTTAAATAAAAACGCCTTTAAAATCCACTTTTAATTGCCGCGCAAAGTAGCAATTTTTTCAGTATAATAGAGAAAAGTCCCCTATTGAGACAGTAGGTTTTCAACGTTCAAATTCAATCGCAAATCTTTTTTCGCAACGATTACACGATCCAACGATCAATTTTCCACTAAACAGATTTCACTCCAAGGACAATAAACTCATGGTGGAACCAACAAGTAATGCCTATTAATTTAGCAGAAACTACGCTATCTCACATTAGGAGCCTATCTCATAATAGGGGACCTACCTCTATTCTTTATTAAATGATTCTAACAACTTTAGTATTTTCTTGACCATATCTAGCATTTTTAATAACACAGAAAATGTATTGCGAAAAATATTACCTCAGCCAGGGTTTGAACCTGGACCTTTCTACATCCTAGGCGGGCGTCTCATAAATTCGACCACTGAGGCACGTGGTAATATTTATCGCAATAACAGTATAAAGATGTTATCTTCGCGTCTATTTTTCGACTTTTAAATGATTTTAAGATATTTTCAGTCTTTTCCTGGGTTTAAATGTTTTTACACGCATGGAGAGAATAAAAATATCTTATCCAAAAATTTTCGACCGTCGTGTCGATTTATACTAAATATTTTACTAAAGACGCATTATTTTCCAAACACATTGCACTAATTGCAAGGCGATACTTGAATTATTTGGCTCCACGAGTAAGTTTATACGACACTGGAAAAATGTAAGGTTCCGTTTTTTAGATTTATAACGGTACACGGAGGGAATTTTCACTTCAAATTTACTCTGAAAATCATGTAATCGTGGGACAGCGCGGCATTTCGAAGACCTTTATGAGAGTTTTTTGAAATTTTACCGTACACTCCGCTAGTAAAATGTATGGTAAAACTTCAAAAGGCTCTCATAAAACTCTTCGAAATGCCGCGTCCCACGATTACATGATTTTCAGGATAAATTTGAAGAAAAAAATTCCCTCCGTGTACTGCTGAAATAGTTGTTTCACTTGACGATAAACAAATTTTACTGAAAATCATGCTTTTCAAAAAGTACCTCTTTGCAGTGTACTTTTTCCAATTCCAATTACGTGCAACGCACCTCGCGTATCATATGATATTATGACCCGCGATTAATTATCGGGATACCATTTTCTTACCTCCCCCGCATTCCTTCGTGCAGGGAGAGAGGCCGACTATTTTCCAGGCGAACTTCCTCCTCTTCTTCCTCCTCGTCGCCTTTGACTTTGGCTGATCGCCCGCCATCACCGTGGTCGGTGGATGCTTCATCTCTTCCTTCCGTCCGCCGTCGTGCGCGCGCGGCGGCGGATCACGATCGCGACGCGTCGAAGATAAATCGCCTCGCCGATCCGATCTGGAAGACAGAGAGCAACGGGTTGTACGAACGAAGACAAATCGCGCGGCTCGACTCCGAGGGGTCCTCGAACGCGCCGCGTGGATTCCCGCGCCGCACAAAGGAGGAAGTCCATCGACGGAATCCGATGGGCGAGCGTCCGATGGGTGAGACGGTCCGATGGGCTCGCTCCGAGATGTATTTTCCGAAAGTGTCGCAAGGTAAAAGTGAAAATTCAAGATTAAAGAGATCGGAAAAATCGCAGGGCGTATAATAACGTTCCGAGACAATTAAACCCCGTGAGAATGTACGTATACGCGATCTGTAATTTTTCTAACGTTTTAATGAAAGAGGAATAACTACGGAATAAAAACTGCTCTGTCCATGCTTTAAACATTTAAATAACGTCGCTTCGGGAGTCTTAATAAGAGTGTGCGCATTTACGTTCTTGTAACGGGTACGCGTACGGTCACGTGAGTATCTGGACTAGGTATCTCGTTGCCCCGATCATTCGCTCCTGCGGAGAAGAATAAAACGTGTTACATGTTTATGGGCTGTAATCGGCGCTTTTTTTATTTCTATATAATTGATTGGCAATGAAGCGATTACCTGCGACAAGCAGCGGCGGTGCAATTACCGCCTTATCGTCCGGCACTTCCCTCATAGGTAGCATGTACTTGTACAAAACGCCCGGATTTAACTCCACGGATAAGATCTACAATAATGCGTGAACAATATGACATTAACATCATGATGGGTGCAATTAAATGAGTGCATTAGAACGCATTTAAAGATGCACTGAGAAACTGCGGTAGGAATAACAGAAAAATGACGTAATCATAATTTAAGTCAAATCGTTTTACTTTCAAATCGTAGCTCGACGGTGCCAAGAGATAAACGTAAGGAATCCTGGGTCAAAATTTTCGTGCTATTTTGATACTTTTAAAGATAATTTCCACCTACCTACATAAATCAGCAATAACCTACTTTGATGACATTATATATTTTACTCCTCCCTCGAATCTTTAATTCTAAAAATTTACTTTAGCTCCCACTTTAATGCTAAATTGGCAAAAGTAAAAATTTCCGACACTATCAGTTTTTAAGTAGGAGTAAATTTTGGACTTGCTGTTCGACCTCTGTTACTGTCTTAGGTCCTACTATACAATAGAATTAAAAGTTCAACATAGGGCCAAAATTTCGACTCGGGATAAAGCGAACAAAAATAAAGAGAGAGAGAGACACAGAGAGTTGCAGGAAGGAATCGTTGAGTAAAAGTCGTTCGTAAATTGCAGCTTGAATTATCCGTGTAATTGAAGGAAATCCGCCTCTGATGCGGTTAACGAAAAGTGACGATAACACGGACAGTACCTCTAAATGCAGAGACTCGTTCAACGGCCCGGTCGCCAAGATACACTCCATACGGTTCCTATCGCCCCTCTGGTATGTTAATGTCGTACCAGCCGCTTTATAAGTACCACTGGGACTGTAAGACCACGGTCCGTTTAGGATGTAACTGCCGTTACTGTCTCTCAACGCTGCGAGTAGATCGATCGTTTGTGTTAACCAAGCATACCACCGTATCGCCGCGTAGAAAAAAAAAATAGAACGCCGCTTAATTATTCGTCTTTGTGCTTTCATTAAATTACCGGAGGCCGCGCGATTGTCGCGAGTGATAAAAATATGTCCACGCGGTAATTCGCGGTGGCTATTCATTGGTTTTCTGTTTTGACATGATTTTCTATTTTGCTCCGAACAGGTTTGTAGTTAAACGTCGCGCGTGTCGGGCTATTAAAATGTTAATTTACGCGATGCTAATTTACTAAAAGGCAGGACCGCTTTACCGCGGCGAATCGGTCAACGTTACCTAGAAAATTACTGCTGAACCGGAGCTCGGAGACGTTGAGCGACATGGCGCCCTTCGGGATCATGGTCACCTGCTGGTGACCCTTGGACAGAATCGGCTCCATGAAGATGCCCTCGAACAATCTGCATCCTTTGCCTTGGCCGCCGCACACGCCGCAGGCGTCCATCGTCGCACCGGAACCCACCACCCCGTCGCATCCTACGGGCTGAACGGCAAATACACGAATTTTCGGCATCGCTGCGTTTAATCCACTTAGGAGTCCCCACCCGAAACTCTATTTGTCCCCGATTTTGCCCCCGAGTCTTTTGTTCTCAAGAACTGCATTGCTCACGATTTACATATCTCTCCTTTTAGACAGGTTTGTTATTCTCATAATTCGAATTATTACGTGTGATTGGACTTATACGCCAAGTTTTCTTAATTTTTATTCAATTTAAAAGATAGTTTATCAAAATTTTTCATCATTTCGATAAGAGAAAGACTTTGACTGCGGATTTATCTTAGCTCGAGGAAAACAAGAGGACACGTTTATCGTAATTCGAAATATTACGTATGATTAGACTTAATTCATTTTAAAAGAAAAAGCCTTTCTCTAAGGCTCCAACTGCGGATTTATCTTGA